AAAAGGAGATTCTTTCACAAATTTTCTAAATAAGTTTCTTTGTATAAATATTAATAGTTAAACACAAATATTATATAAAAAAACATATTATTACTATTAATTGAGTACAATTTGTAGAGTTAACTCATTTCATTTATAATTTTGCTACTGGTTTGATAAAATTACGTGTTATTATGGTTGAGCTTTTATAATGTATTAAATATAAAATATGCATATTAAATATATATACAATATTCTGAGCTGAAACTAATATATAACGTATGTGTGTAATTTTTATATCTTTAAAAGATATACCAACTTTAAATTATATAATATTGTGTTTTAAATTATGTTATAAAATAGTTAATGTTAAAATTAAAATAAATCACTGTTTATCGAGTGTAAATAAAATATGTATAAACTATAAAATAGAATATGTCAAAAGTTCATCAAATCAAGTCTATAATTTGTAAATCGTATCAAACTATATCTATATGTTTTTCGAAGAAATAAATTATTTTATGACCTATGTAAGAGCGATACCAGCTATAGGCTGTAATAAAATATTGAAAATTGAATAAACGTACTAGATTATTAAATTTATAAATTGAATAATCAAAATTTTTTGTTACAAAAAGGTTTAAAAAAATTATACAACTGAATTTTTTGTAATTTGAGATTATATATGTATAAATATATGTAGGCATAGAAGGTGGCGCATGTTAATTGAACATTCACTAAAATGTATATAAATAATTAGTATTTAAATGAAACAATTTAAACGATGTTCACCTTATACACATTTTTTACATTAATCTATCTGACTAAAAAGAAATGTTTCATATTATTGTACTACTCTATACATGTATGATATAATATGTTTAATGTACCTAGATAAATATTAATGTAGGTAATACTAATAAGTAATAAATGATATATAATACATGAATAGACTATAATAAATTAAATAATTGATGAATAGTAATTTTAGTTATAATAAAAATTACTTATTAAAGATTCAAAGATATTTTTAAATTCCAGTTAGTTATCTAGTGTTTCTTTCAATACCTACTCATTTTATCATAAAATTAAATATTACATTTTATATATTTTAAGTCTATAAATTAAGATTTATCGATTCGATAAAAGTTTTTCTGGGGCTGTAAATACTCAATTGAAAAATCTTGTATGTGTATGCATGCGGTACTTTAACAGTCGTATTTATAAATTTTTTGTGCATTGTATGATTATACTTTACCATGGCCTTGAGAATTTTTTTTGTTAGTAATGTTAGTATACATATTTCTTTTGTTGCCGTTTGTAAGAAACCACTTATATTGATTATACTAACATTTATTCAGAATTATTGTACCATTATTATTTATTAATAAAATTTTATTATAGTCTATACTTAAAATACTTTATACAATATTTTATATACTTAAAACACTAACAAAAATATTCAATATAATTATGGGTACCAATTCTTGGTCTTTTAACGATTATTCATTTAAAAATTAATATTGTATCTATTATTTTTATGATGCATTAGTACAACAATATTGTTTCTGAAATCCATTTATTCTACGATTTTTTACACATCGTGATCGCAATCAGATAAATTAATTTCATTTTTAATACTTTATCTACACTATACATATATCTTAAATCCCTTATTGCTATAAAATGTATGTCTTTTTTATGTATTATATTTATGTAATACACTAATAAACTAAAGATTGTTATAGTGATCTATAACTTGTCCCTTTTTATATTTTTAAATATACTTATGATTTATGTAATTCTAGATACATTTGGTACAATAATAATAAATATCACATGTTGCTTTTGTTTCAAAGTATCAAGATTTTATTGATATGCCAAAATTCGATGAACTAATATTTAAGTGATTTATTCTCTGTTTATTTGTTATTGAAAAATTATAATGTATTTAAATAAATGATTATTTGTGATAATATAGTACTTAAATATAGGTCTGTAATAATTATATTCATTACGTTACAATCTATGTTTTAGTGTGAACCACAATAAAATTACTAAATTAGTCTCTCGGGTCTAATCTGATATGATGTATTATAATATTAGATACGACTTTAGCGATTTAACAGTTTATTTATTTTGAAGAACTTAATTGTAGTATTTATTACCAAAGGATTTTTTTAAATATTTTTTGGTAAAGGAAGGGAGAGTTAAATAGTTAATGCTTGAAACTTGTGATCAATCTTAATTTTATTTTTAGATATAAAATCCAAATAGCTTTAATTTATCATATTAAATATTTAAAAAAAAATTTTATTAATAAAAATTGATTTTATTTATGGTAAGTATTGTTCAATTATACATTATATCATATCTAAATATTATGTCGAAAAAAACCATACAGATACATGTATCGAATATCATTATTCCTACAAACATATAATTAATTAAATACATCAAAGTTTCGACGTGAATCTCTAAACCAGTGCATTTTGCAATTACTTATTTTGATCATTAATCATTTTAATATCATATTTTATTTTTAATTAGGTTTATCAATTTACATAACGATTTTTGTAATATTTATTTTGAAATTAACATCAATAATATCAAAGTTTTTAATTTTGATTTTTTTTTTTTATGATTTGATTTTTTTAATAAAATTATATTTAATAGAATCTATTATAATCGTTTTATTTAATGTTTCCGGTACCTACTGATACATTTTTGTTTTTAATTAAAATCGTACTTTATATGATAATATTGATGAAGTCTTATCTTATCTCGTAAGAAACTAATTATTTTTATTTATATAGTATGTTACTATGTTACTATGTTAGTGTTACGGTTACGTAAAAAAACTCGATAAACATATTAAATTAAAACGTATATAAATGTTCAGTGTAATTAAATTAAAAAGTTCAATATTGTGAGTAAATTGTTATTGTGGGTCATAGCAGCTGTTATCTTTTTGGCAATTATTTTTCATTTGTATAACAAAGCTATATAATTTTCAAATCAAAACTACAGCAGTCTATAAATATATTATTTATTATACCGATGAATCCTTTTATTAATTTGTAATTCTCATTTCGTTCAAATGACACCGCCAATCAGTCAACTCTAATATTATAACATTTAACGATGTTTTTTCAAGTATCGTTTAGACTATAGAATCTAAAGTGTACAGTTAAATTTAAGTAGAGTGTAAATATAAAATAAAATTAATTTCCGATCTTATTAAAAAAAAAAAAAAAGAAACAAATTCGATTTATACTTACTATAATAAATGTTGAGTTAAGTTAATTATTCATTTTAATTTTGATACTTTAATATTAAGTTAAGCAGTGAAACGCTTAAATAAACATTTATAAATTGTGTAAAACGTTAAAAATAATATATTTATTCTGATTCTAATGTGAAATACAGAAACGTATTTTAAAAATTTTAAATAAGTATTATTAGGTAATATAACAGGTAAATGACGGATTATAATTTGTTTTCGATGTAATTGTTTGCCGTAAGTACGCTCCCTTAAGCTAGTTTTTTAAAAAATATTTTTGATTATCGAAGAGATCAGAAAATATTCGTTTGTATAGTATTTTTAACAATCGAATTCGGTCACTCCTTCTTCTGTCAAACAATTAGTTGGGTGACGGTCATGAATGGAATGTGGATGGCTTATACAATATAACTGAACATTTTTACGATAGGAATTCTTTTGAATGTGTGTGGGTATAATTGAAAAATGCTTACAAGTTATAAGACTGGCGCGTGTGTATTATTGTTTGTAACAATTTAATACGGTTCCTACAACACTCACTTGGACATGTAAAACACCGATAAAACCCAGAAATAAATTAAATAACGTATTCGGTCTTATCCTCGCTGCACCTACCCACAATCGACCCCCTAGAGAATTACCAGCACAATAGATGGCTGAATTTTTCAGTGTGGTCCTATCTTTATTCCCTACGCTCTATGACGCATCACGTAGTCGCCGTATCAACAATGCCCAAGGTCCCTGCACTCACCCTCCGATGACGCATTATGTCCAATCGTTAGCTGTCATCGTTGTTCCAAACCTTTTTATATTGTACACACTCGAGTAGTACAACGGGCCTATGTTATATTTTTTTCATGCTCTACAGTATTTGACAGTGCATTAGTTGGATCAATCGGTCTTCATTGAATTTACGATATTTTCAGAAAACCGAACCGCCTTCGTTATAATACTTTTTTGAATTATTTACCATGGCTTTAGAATTAAAAATAACTGCATATTTTTTTTTTTTGCTACATTGCGAGTTATGTTTTTGTGATTCCTACATGTTTTATAACAATCATGAACGTGGTTCCGATCCTTATTACTACAGGGAATTTTCTTCAATTCCGGCGTTTCCGACGGACCAATCACCACCTGAATCATCACGTTGCCATTGTTGATAGATTATGCACTTTTGAAATCATTTTATTATCTGTTACACAAATGTCACCAAAAAAATTGACTATACAAGCATCCACTTCGCAATTTTCAGAAAAACCATCGAATTTGAATAACACGCTAAAATCACACTCCTCTTTACTTAAGTTCCTAAATTTATTACGTGTTTTATCATTGCATAAGTCTCGGAAGGCGCCATAATCGTGAATTTCGGTAGGTGCGCAGAGGTAGGTACCACCGAAATCACCTGTTTTACAGTCGAAATTGCCAGTTATACAGTCAAAAATGTATTTTGAACCGTTTAAATCACATGCTATACTGTTATAATCACATGTTGTACCACTGAATCCGCATACAAACGTGTCTATACATTTCTATCACTCCCACCACCTACGACATCATTGTCTTTATCTTCTACAGTTAGATCACTGAAACGTAATCGTTCTAGTTCTCCAGATTCGAAACCAAAACCAGTTGTAAATTCCATGCTGCCCGAGCTTCAACAATATCTTAATCTAGTTGATATAACTGAACGTGTTCAGCGTTTTAATATTAAATAAAATAAATTTAATATCAGTTATTGTTTTAGCGTACCAAGAGAACTGCACCAAACAATAAGGCGACAAAAATCACAAACTAATTAGTTGTTGTTCATCGTCGTCACATCCACTAGCACGGTATCGCCGAATTCACCTCATAATTTATCATCGACCATAAACAGTACCAACACCAAACATACAGCTGGTCTAATTTTGCTCACCACAAGAAGATATTACCTCAATATTAGGAATGGATAACCCAGCAGCAGTGCTGACAGATGACGTGGAGGATTGGAGTTCACGGGCGCCATCGACACATACTCGGTTAAGCGGTGGTTCCGATGGTAGTTTACCTAATTCATCACAGACACAATCAACAATGTCTCAACATCAACGATCAACACCACAACAACACTACAAGCGCAATGCGTCTACTTATTCAATAGATATTCCAGCAACCCTAGGGCTGATGGTGACGAACGGCAATCCTGCTGCCAACGGAGGATCAACTACATCGTCTACGTGAGTATACTTTTCGATTTTCACATTTGTTGAGTATAACTATATTATAGTTGTATTTTAGTAACTAGAATAATTTTAGCATACAGCGTATAAATTATTATCATTGTGAGTAGAAGGTATACGTGATTGTAGAAGTTATGAACTTGGAATAAAACAGTAATAATTTCTGTTTAATAACCATTTAACGTGGAATAAGGGCATATTCTTAAATATCATAATAATATATATTTTTTATTGATTACATAATGCAATATTATGATAGCTGGTTTTTGAGAACAATTTTAGCTAATCAATATCATCGTTCTGAAATTTCTTTCAACGGAAATTTAAGTCACGTTAACTGTCTAATGCTACAACGTTCGATATTTAGATTGTCACATCAGCGTTCATAATATTATTAATAATTATATTTCATGCCAAAAACGTGCACCTATTCACGTGTGTATAGTATAATATATATATATATATATATATATATATAGGTATGTATATGTATGTATGTTTTCTGTTGATCGCGCACCGTCACCGCGCCTTATTATTCAGTTTCATCCTAGCTTCATCCCCATGCGTATGGTGGCGACCACTGCTATTCAGGTAAAAACGATTTGAAGGAAGGAGGGGCGATCAGACGCGCTGGATGGTGCGAGGGATACATTCCCGCAACTATCTACCCCTGTACACAGCCACAACCTGTACCGGTCCGTATACCTTTTGCAGATACCTGGTTGTGCATTCAATGCGTTTCGACTTTTTATGTACATCATAATTTTGTTAAATAGGCTGTACCTATAATATATACCTGTTACTTATCATAGTTATTATATATCACTGACTTGTCGTAAGACTCGTTTCACTAGTAGCAATACATTATTACGCTCGAATTTAAATGCGATTAAATTGGATTATCAAAACACCGATGAACACGTCCGAAATAAAATATATAATTAAAAATCGACGTAGATCGATCTCACGATTCGATAATTAGCCTGCCACTGCGGTGAATTGCAGGCCGGCGGCGCCGCCGGTGTCCGTGTGTTTCACGCGTATTTCGATTATTCGAAAAATGCATAGGTACACGCCAGCGGTATATACCTAATCATTGACATTTCTTTAGGAAATCATCACGCGAATCACTTGGCAATGTGACGAGATTTATCGCTAATGAATTCTCTCGCGTACTTTCTATTATACAATTTAATTTTAATCTCTTCTCGTGTCGTACCTACACATACACGCGTGCTATTATCGTATTTATCTCCGCCCGCGTTTTGTTGATAGTGATATACAAACGACGGTATTAATTCGGTAAATGCATCGTGCGTGCGGCAGAGTGAGAGGAGTGTGTATGCGCGTTATAATCTTGTAAACACATATTATAATTATAATACGTACGAATTGTGCACAATAACAACATTATTTACCATATTGTGCACATTAGAATCGCACAATTAACGGACAGGCACCGGCTATACGTGTGTGTATGTGTTATATATATATATATATACCATTAAACGCGCGTACCTACACATTACAACGATTTCAATAACGTTAATAATTACCCGTTTTAGGTTCCCCGAGAACTGCAGCAATAATATACATACATAATGGTACGTATATCGACGCGCGCGGAAAACGTCGCATGTTTCTCGGGGACACGTGACATTCTTTGGCTCCTGTGTGCGCGCATTTTTCACACAACTCACTAATGCATTTGCGTATTATGCCCATGTGTACGGGTACGCCATACAGTGTACGTACACTAGCTGGCTATCGTTACAAAACTATGCGCGTGCCTATGTCTTTAGCTGTTTGTCTCTACCTACACTCGTGTACTATTTATGCGTACGATTGGCGTATTCTTGTCGAGAATAGCTTGCAATGGTCTGGTTCGTGGGTTTTCGTTCTGCGTACCATCGGCCCGTTTCGCTTGACACGGTTGTCGGTGTGCGACATATACATCCGCGCTGATCGATACAATTTTCCGTGCTCGTTGCGTAGATAGGTAATACCTGTAATGTTAGGTATACAATTGCCTACCTCCTACACGACATTCGAATAAACCGCGGAGCTTTCCGATATATACCTACTATTGACCCAGTGCGGCGCGGGCGAAACGTATTCTGACGGCCAGCCATCCATCCAGGTACCTATTAAACGGAAACATGGTTTGCTGATTTTTTAATAGGTACATACAAAAACACCGATAATCGTATACGACATGACACGTAGCCACGTAGGTAACGTCACATGGGAGGTTAGGTACCCGTAGCCCGTAGGTAGGTACTCGCGATAATAATTACTATCGACGTACAGTACCTGTCATTATATTATACATTATAATATATACAATTATATAAACATTCGTTTAATATATATTATTAGCGCTTAAGACTACGACAACGAATTTGCGGATGATGTGATGTATGCGTATGCCGCGTGAGGGCGTACGTGATGAAATAATAATAATAATATTACCTACATTATTGTAATCGAATTGGGTTTTTTTTTTTTTTTACGTTCTCCGGGGCCACGACCATCTCTCTCGGTACGACGCTAATCGTCGTCAAAACTGCCATCGTCTTTGTACGGCGTGTGGTTATTCATTGTTCGGCCGTCGTTCATTGTGCCTGCACGTTCCTAATAAAACGTCGTGTCCCGTCTTCGTGTGTGCCAATGCGTATCGTCGCGTTGTATCGCCGTCACCGCTGCAAACAACATCATCAATATCAACAACAAAAATAATATCATCGACAACGACCTCATGATTTCTGATTACGATTACAGCATGAAGCTGACCGAGTACTCGAGCAGCGGCAGCAACAGCAGCAACAGCGGAAGTGTGGGCGATGGGACCGCGACGGCTACGTCGTACATCATTTCGGGCGGCAACGGCGTAAAGACCGATGCCAACGGAAAGGTTGGCGGACGCCGTCGCAAAGGCGGCAAGAGGCAGCCGCGTTACGATCCGTTCGAGATGCGGGACAAGTCCGAGTCAACCACGTACGTATAAATAATAATTATGAGAAAACATTCGCGTATATTAAATATGGTTACACGTTTTAATGTTTTATCGCGGAACTAACGATACCGAAATGATTAAACACGACGTACTTATAATATTATGATATTATGAAGTAGTCGATACCCCGAAAGGCTGCGCGCAGGGTCTAAGGTTTGCGAGTAATGGTGCTTTGTAAGTCGGTGTACTTATATACACTATTCTGCAATGTACAGTGTATACATATATTAAAATATGTGTGCCTCATAGCACGAATAGATGCATCAGTGGCCCGCTGCAAAGGCCTCGCAGATCTATCAATTTTTAACGTTTATACGGTGTATAATAATTGATTGTGCCCGTATAATTAAATAATAATAGATCTACCCGTGCATTACCATATTTTAATTTTCCTTTAATCAGTAGTTAATAAAATGCTTTTGGTTTTTGTTTGTTTCACCCTATCCTGACTGCCGTCTATACAATAAACATACAGTGACAGTGGTGCCTTATTACATCTAATCAAGAGCAGTCTCGGCAGTGGTATCCTCGCCATGCCAAACGCGTTCAAAAACGGTGGACTTATTTTTGGACTTGTCGGCACGGCAGCCATCGGAGCGCTTTGCACGCATTGCATTTATCTTTTGGTGAGTTGTACGACAAAATTATTTTGATTTATAATCATATTATTATTATTATTATTAGAGCTAGGATTTTGATGACTTAAAAACTTTAATCGAAATGAACTTAAAAAATAACCAAAAAATGTACTGAGATGAGCAAGAAAAAATTAATTATTCATTTTTATAGTAGGTATACAAAATAAGTAAAAATTTGTTTAAGAAGTACTAATTAAACAAATATATTCAAATTTGAGTTGACAATTACTTATATTACTTTTTTAATATCAATGGACTGAAGTAGGTGGAATTTTTATTGGAATTACTTATTCAACACATATTAAAAAAAGCTTAAAATAAACAAAAATGAGTTTAAATATACAAAATTAATGTAATATCTGTAAAAAATTATCTTAAAAATGTAACAAAATGTATGTAACACAAAAAATGCAAAATAAAAATTACATATTCTAAATTGTTATACAACAAAATAAATTTAATTGTTGGTTAGAACTGTATAGTACTTAAAAAAAAAAAAAAAATGCAAGTCATAAAAAGAAATCCTAGCTCTAGTTATTGTATATTTTTTCAAAACCCATTGTGTTACTTTGATTTTAATTAAAACGTATTTTTATATAAATGGTGTGGTTCGTGTTATCGGACAATTTAAGTCTGTCCGAGTCACCATTTTTCGATTAGCCATAATATTTTATCAATATAAATTAATTGAGTTACTAGACTGTACGATATGTTACCTTAAAATCGTGCCTTCTAATGTATTTTTTCTAAACCTGGTTAATGCATATATATAATATTAATATACCTACTAAATTGATATTTGGGAAAATGGCAATACTAAATTTTTGAATAAACGAAAAACTGAAAAAATTATTCTAAACGGAGGCATGTGTTAATATATATTTTTAATGATATTTAATAATTTATTTATATTTAGTGTCTATCTATATTACTATAAGAAATGTATTTTATTTTAAGTAATGTACGGTGAGTTGAACTCGTTTTTACCAAAAACATAACATTTATTTCTAAAATATTATATATTATGGTTATTTTATTGTTTTATACTGGCATGCCTACTGGCGATTAGATTGATTATAAAATTGCATTGCAGATAGAATAAAATAATTTAAGTAATTATGGAATGTCTCAATTTTCTATAGTTAGTTTTTAATGAATTACAATAACGAACTACTAACTAATTAATTAATGTTCGTGATTTAAAGAAATTTTGTCAAGGTTTAAATTTAAAATGCTAATAAAAAAAATTACTATTTTTTTTTGATATTTTTTAATTTTTTTAAGAAAAACTTATCAAGAAATTCATAAGCAAATTTCAAAATGTTTACGTACCTATCAATATAAATTCAAAAAAAAAGTAAAACGTTTCAAATATCAATAAATAGGTATCTTAAAAAAATCAAACAATTGTACAATATTATATCTAAAAAGTAAAAATTCTAATTAAAATTTTTGGTGAAAATACCAAGTATCTAAGATTTATTTCTGAATAACCATAAAAAAAATATATTATTTCTCCATATCATTGTAATACCAATATAAATGCATTGCTCCACTTATAGTTTAAGATATTTCAATCAATTGGAATAACAATTAATTTATTATGAAATATAATACAACTAAATTAAGATATTAAAACACGATTGAAACATTTCATTGTGAAGATTGAGAATGCATTTATTGTATTTTTTGTAATATATAAATATATAATGCGTATGGTTTGTAATATTTACGTTTTGCTAATAAAATTTTTTGTTGCTTTTGATATTAAAATAGATTTACCTTGTATCATATCATTTAAATTGAACTTAAAATCATATAAAATATATTTTTAAATTATAATATTTTATCTACTCGTAATTTACTAGTATTAAAAAAAAAACTGACGACATTATACATAGATGATAATGTTATCATCTTTAACTTAGGTAATATGTAAATTTGCTCTACTTATATGAAAAGTATCTATAACAACTGCATTAGAAATGCGGAACGTAAATCTTATACATTATAATGTTGTATGTGCGTGTGAGACGTACATTTATGAGTATATTATTATGAATATTATGTTCTCTTAAAATATGTGTATATAGAATGTAAATAGAAATAGTGATAGATTAAAAAAAAAATATATTCCGGAAATATTTTATTTTGTAAAAATCACAACCTTGAGGCCGTTCGTCCAATATTATAATGATAATGATATATCTCGTAATTTTTTCTGCTGCACACACTTATAATAATAATTATAACTATGAAATGTTATTATTTTATGTATATTATAATTTAGCCAAATATATATGATATGTATATATGCTTCTTTTGTGGTTTATTCTTAAAATATTGTTATGATTATTATACTTAAGTATCGCAATCACATATCTAACTAAACTAACTACTTCACAATAAAATTATTTTTCAGGTTTTATGTTCGCAAGCTCTAGCTCGCCGCACTCGCCGCCCATACCTTGGGTTTGCCGAAACTGCCGCAGCCGCGTTTAGTACTGGCCCTCGCCGATTCCGTGCCTGGGCCCCGTTCGCCAAGTAAGCTATTATATTTATTTAATTCAGTATGATATCCAACTTAATAATTGTATTATTATTATTATATGTATAATTTTTTTTGTGACCCTCGATATCGTATTTTTTTTTACTTAAAGTTAAACATATTATTATTATAATTTATCAGTATTCATTTATGCGTTTAATCATTATTGTGGTTACAGACTGCGAGGTTAGAAATCAGTGATCTAATTTTTAAACGTTTTCACTTACTCTTATAAAAGTGGGTGGGAGAGAAACTTTAATACCTTTATAATATATATAGTGATTGATCACAACGATATTATAATTATTAGCCACGATGTCAGCAGTATTTTAAGTTGTAGTAGTAAACGATGTTTTGTATTACAGTTTGACTTGATATATAACTTATTAGTATTAGATATTTGATAATGATGTTTTTTTTCTAAAACAAAATAGTTACTTTTTTTTGATTCAACATCGTCAATATTCATCAAAATTAATAACAATACTGAAAGAACTTTGTCGTTAAGTTTATATATATATATATATATATATATATATTTATATTATACAGTTGCATATAGTTTTATTTTTTATAAAACGTTCAACTTTTTTACCAATATTTAAAATTTTTATATGGTCGTAACTATATCACACGAATTTAAATAATATTGTCATTTGTCAGTCTTAAAAATATTAGCTATATATTTATAATAATATATCATGTTATAATTTTAAAAAATAAATTAAAATTGATTGAGAATCACAGTAATATTTCAACTGTTTTTATAGAGGCATTTATATCCAAATTACGTCGTTAGTGTTTAGGATTTTGAAATTAAATTTAAAAATACAATTATCGTATGACTTTTTGCGTTTAGATTCAACAAATTGTAATCTATTCATCTTAAAATATAAATGGAAAACTAACGATAAGCAACACTGTAAAATAAAAAAAAAAAGTTAAAATGAACAATAGCGATACGCTAACGACTTCCGGACCATAGCGTGTTATCATGGCATGTATACGTTTCGGATTATTTTCCAGGCACATTCTGGATGTTTTGTGTGTGAAGAGTGAAGGTTGTTTTTGGTTTGGTTGACAGAGGCTGATGATTGTACTTTCAACAATTATAATATGACTAGAGAAAAATTTAATTACATAGATTTCGGTAATTAAAAATGTTATTAAATTTTTCTCAGCATGTGTATTATAGTTGTTATTTTGGGTAAACGCAATTGTTGATCCGGTAGATCAGAATCATTGATCGCAATGACATAGTACTTTAACTTATATGATCACAGAAAACTGAAAACAAACATGTACAGAACGAGCTAGTAAGTTTTGTTACACGCACTCTTGTTTTAATAGTATTACGTGAATTATAAAAGTTTGATTAAATTTATCGTTGTCCTTCAGTCTTTATAAAATACCAAAAACATATTATTATGTTTAAATGTATAATTATGTCTTTTACTCTTATCCAAACATTATATAATAGTAAGTAATGAATCATGATCGTTAATGTCTTGTGATAAATGCGTCTACAACTAAATTGATAGATACAAATTTTTTGAACATGTTAAATTATTTAGGTCATAGATATCATTTCTTATCAAATATGTAAACATTTTTGGAAACTTATTAAAATTAAAATTTTAAATATTTTAAAAAATAATAATAGAATATATTATCATGGAAATATAGCCGTTCTTAATAATTAATAGATCTAGGATAAAAATAATTACGAAGCTGGGTGCGAAAATAATTGCGAAGTTAACATACATTTTGATTTGAAAATATTTCTTTAAAATACCAACTTTTTTCTCTGTTCATATTATTTGATGATATAATTTACTATGGAACAAACATATTTTCAATATATTAATGAAAAGGTACAAAATAAAATAAATATAAATTATTTAATAAAAATTTTTACATAATAAATTACAATGAATTACAATTTTATTATGGTATCAAACAATTTTTAACACTATTATTGATGAAATAATTTTATTTCCAATTAACTGTTTTGAATACAAATAATAGCTTTGAGCAATATTTTTTCAAATTTATTTCGTTTATTTTAAGATATTGTTATAATGAATTTTTATTTATTGAAGGAAATAAATGTGTGTATAAAAACCATACAAATTCATAATTCAAATTAATTCATGTAACGATTCTAAATAAGTAAATAATAAACACCTTTATATAACTGTATGTTTAAAATTTTATGAATATTTGTGATTAACGTAATTATATTGGCCTATACTCAATTTTAAATTTAAGTAGAATAAAATAATACCTATAATTTAAGTAATTATTTTTTGAGAATATAAAGAGAAAAGTCGTTTTAATAGTTAATGTTTTTCAGTTTTATTTTAATATATGTATAATTTGCTGGTTCTAATTATTTTACTCTAAATTTATCATAGATTTTATTAAAGGTTATTAATTTTTACGAGTCCTAAAAGCTATTCGTGTTCAGATTATTCATAATTTAGTTTTTTTTTTTTTTAAATCTACAGTAGAATAAATTTGTAAAAATTATATATCTGCATTTAAGATATTCATTAGGTATTATTTGACTGTTGAATGTCATGGTATTATATATGTGTTAATATTTATTTTTAAATTAGGTACATTAATTAAAATTTTGATTTTATAGAACACTCGAGTACTTTACCTAAGTATGCCAAAGGCTTGATTATAGTTAAATAATATACAACGCAAAAATATTAAGACCCGGAAATTATAGACTAAAGGTATTTTGTTAATAACCAACTATAGTAAATCTATACAACTCTATCAATACATTAAGCAAATTGAATATTTACATCACTATATATATATTTGTCCACGTAGTTAAAAAAAAATTAAAATATAATTATATTAAGCTACAGTATCATAATTATAAGAACAATTTTGAAAAATAAGTTAAAGTCAAGCTAAATTTTAAATTTCATAACACAATATAGGTTATCTAATACCGATATTATTACAGATACATTATAATTATTATTACGTAATGTATAAATATATGTTTATACATTGAAATAAATTATTAGAATATTCAATAGCTCTAATATTTGATTATTCTAATATACATAGGTAAAATTATAATAAATTATCATTATATAATTGGTAATTCTATTAATTTCCATTTTTAATTATCATTAGGTAGGTATATAACAAAATCTTTGTTCACAGGATACACCTACGATCTCAAATAGAATCTCATATACTATACACAAAACCAAATATAGATAAATACATTATACATACCCTCATGTAATACATGTAATAACCTATATAGTTTATTCAAATTATAAGTTAACCTTATGATAAAAATTAATTAATTACTAGTATTTTACATTTTAGTCTGTAATTAAGAGCTGATATGTTAGTACATGCAAAAATGCATATACATTTATTAAAGTTGTTAGACATCACTGAAGTTATTTCAATATATTTTAATTTGTGTATTAATGTTAGTTATTGACAAACTAAAGGCATATACCACATATACGACATTGTGTTTGGTGATCTTATTGAAATAAGTATCAAACTTAAATGTAAACATGTTTTATTACCAATAATATTCAGTATCAAACATTTAATTTAAAAAAGTAGTTGTTCTCATTTATGACAATTAAATAATCATTTATTTACTATATAATCTATTATACATAATATAATATAAAAGCTACGAGATATACATTAGGTATATGTTTTTCTTATAGTACTAGTTTTATAACTAGTAAGTATAAAAATGTAAATTTGATTTTAAAAACTGTGAGAACCATAAATTTTAAATATGGCTTATAAGCATTAAAAAGTTTAAATAACACTAATTTTTTGACTTAATTAAAATATATTTTATTTATTATATTCTTTCGTAGAAGAAATATGTATACATTTTTATAATGGTCAAATATAAAACCATGATAGACAAAACGTATCACTTCCTACTATAAGTAGAGTTCAATTACATGAACATAGGTAATATTATTTCTTATTAGCGTATTATCCTCTCAAAATACTTGTCTGGATGGATAACATAATAATAATATATAATTCAGTAATCATAACGACATAATATTAAGTTATAGAATGTCCATTATGTTTACGCATACTATTTGGTGATAAATATGATTAAGCCGTAAACATTTTATTTTTAGATAACAATATAAATCAATAACAAAATGTCATAACCTTTTATGAAAAAATACTATATCCAAAATATTGTAAGGTATGACTTTTTACGAGCGTCAAGTATAAAATAATCTACTACCACCATGTACTACAACGGTATCAATGACGTTAGACAATGTATATAAATATTGAATAGATTGTATATTTGTGTTTATTCTATAATAAGTATAGTAATACTATATAACATATTTCTTCTAATCGGATACATAATAATCATATCGTCATTTATAAATCTGGTCTTGGCAGAGGCGCAAGCCTTGATAAATCACAGAGGAATAAATTGGTGTTAAAAGAAAGTTGAGTTCGACAATGTCTACACCATAATGTATATAAAAAAAAGTTCTATCGTAGGTACATTTTCAAATATATATAATATGCATTTTTATATTAAACAAAAGATCATGTTTTATAGCAATAGTCTATTCATTTTAACATAAACTGAAATTCAAATAAACTTAATAAAAACAATCTTCAATCGTAGTAAATTTGAACAAAACATTTTCATATTAAATAATACTCATGTATTAGCAAATTCTATAAACATTGCTTTATCGTAATATATATAAATACCACAAACAAATATTCCACACTCATGAAATGTATACACACGATGGTAGAATGTAAGATTGTTATGTGCCGACGCATTAACTATAAATTCGTATATTTGTCCAAACTTTCAGGATTGACATGATTTTTATCCAATGTTTAAAACGTTTTTCTCCAACACTGAACATTCTGTATTGGTATATAGTTATATGTAGATATGGAGTATTTTATAATATTTTAAAATGTTCGTGAGTGGTACTTGTATAATATGTACCTATGGATTAATTAAAATTGAAAAAAAAACACTTTTCATTTATTTCGTTGAGAGAAAATACTTATTTACAGACAATTAAGATTCTAACAATATTATTTAACACGTTTTCTCATTTCAAGTAAAAATATTTATTAGAATTTTTTTTTAATTTACCAATACGTTTTAAAGAGAATTTTTAGTTTTATCTCAATAAATACGATTACAGTACAATTTAGGGTAGCGTAGGGAAATACTCGTATGATTCCATTTTTCAATAATGTGGTGGTTTAATAAAATTTCATTCTGTAAATGAGCATAGGTACCTAATAAAACTAATTTATACTCATATGTTTTTACTTTTTTGTTTGCATTTTACGCGCACCTTTCAATGACGAACTGGAACCGTTTTCGAACTGGATTTACCATCATACGCAGAGAATTTGTCAACGCTGCCTTGTTCTGCACGTATTATTTTGGAAACACTGTATACGTTGTGCTCGTCGCCGCATCGTTCAAGCAGGTAATGTTATACGACGACATCACCGATAAATACACACACACACACACACAATTCACACATCAAATTGTATATTTTTATACTTTCCCGTATTTTATAGTTCACAATGTTCACATATCAATTGTACATTATTAATATGTCGACCATAGTTATTTATTATTTTTTTATTAGATATTTTATTCGTTGTGTAATTTACTGAAAATCGCATGGTGAAACGCTATTTTGTTGATAAATAATTGTATTTAGGTACTGTTTTGGACTCCTTATTAATTATTATTTATTTCAAATCTTATTTTAAAAACTAATTCGAAACTTTTAAAACATTCATTTTTACTTTAATAATTCTGAGGACGTCACTTCTAACGGAATTCTAATTCGCATATAGTACCTACATTACATACCTATGTATGTTGGTATATTATATACACAATCGCGCGAAAGCATATACACAGCACATATAACATACACATTATAATAATTTATTCTGTACGATACACGCGCACAATGTTATGTATGACAAACAAGTGTACCCAATATTTATTCTGTGATTTTTTTTCGTTCGTAAACAGGTGGCTGACACGCACACTTCGCCAGAATGGCACATGCCCATCCGCACCTGGATCCTCAGCCTTGCCATTCCGCTGGTGCCATTGGGTATCATCCGTACGCTCAAGGTACTGGTTCCGTTTTCGGCCATAGCCACCGCGTTCATACTGGTGGGTTTAGGGTGCACCATGTCGTGGGTGGTGACCGGCGTCAGCCTGTTCGCCGACGAGAGTGCTCTAACGGCTGCAGTACCACTACCCGACATCGGATCCCGCCCGTGGATCGCCCCCGTGGGCCACATGCCCTTGTTCTTCGCCACCGTCTTGTTCGCCATGGAGGGCATCGGCACTGTAAGTACATCTATCATGGTCCGAGTGCATTGCTTAATGTCCATGCGATGACTCTCAATAACCATTAAACTATCCACTTAAAATATAGCCAATCGAAAATTGTACAATATATAATATATTAATATCATTATACATAGTGTCAAAATATGTAAAATCAATTTTCGTCATAAAATTCCTGTGCATTATATTTAATACATTTTAATTCCAAGTTCGTATGTACTTTACGACATAAGTGCAACGAGAAATCAAATTCTAGTTTTGATTTGAAACTGACTATATTTTTTATAGTTGTATCTAAAAAAAACATTAATAAAAACGAATTGTACGGTTAAATGCATACTTCTGTCGATCGCAATTGTAATCGCCGTTAAAATCATAAAATAGTCTACATACAAATACACAAAACGACTTTTACAGGTACTCCCGATAGAGAATTCAATGCGCCATCCAAAGCGGTTCCTTACAGCTCGTCCTTGTGGAGTTCTAAACGCCGCCATGTTGCTGGTCGTGTGTTTGTATTCGGTCGCCGGATTTCTTGGATATTTGCGTTTTGGTGACGCCACTGACGGATCAATCACGCTCAACCTGCCCAACGATCTGTACGTATAACTTCAATCGCAATACTATGCGACGCGCGAAAATACTACGAGACATACGTGTTCTTATGTGCATAAATGAATAATAAATAAATAAATATGTACTAAAACTTTCAAGACATGCGAACGCATAACAATATTAAATCACAATATATTTAATTTTGTATCTACATGGCTTGAAAGGTTATGATGAAAAGTAATAAACTGTAGGTATGCGTAAAATATCAAATCTGCAATAAACACGTACTTATATCATGGAAAACTTGTATTTCTGTAGAAATTATACTGTTGAACTTTTAATGTTAAAACAATATCGTATTATTTCATGTCAAACTCGTGTCCTTTTAAAATTGGCAATGAAAATTTATAATTACATATAATGTAATTTATTTATTAGTGCTTAAAACATGCAAAATACATTTGTGTAATATATTTAATTATAAATATGTTTTGGACATTTCAAATTTATTCATTGATACCCACCCGGTACCCACAAACCATGAAAAACTCAGAGGCAATCGCCTCTCGATTATCTCTTCACCACTCCACTAGCATAGCGACGTAGCGCGAACCTAAAACATGCTCAACTAGGAAATTTTTCATGTATTTATTAACTAATTATGTTACAGGTTCGCTGAGTCGGTGAAAATCATGGTGGCACTGTCCATATTGTTCTCGTACGGTCTGCAGTTCTGCGTGCCCAGCGAAATAGTGTGGGCTCGACTGGAGCCGTGGTTGCTCAAGCGTCAGCAAAACAACAAATATTCTGCGAACAACAAATTGACAACTCCTTCCACGCCAGCCGTTAACACCATCGCAGGCAGCACCGTATCTACAACCACCGCAGTCACTTCGACCAATACCTCATCTGTGAACGAGAAAAAGCAGCTCGAGATCGAATCTAAGAAAACGGAAAAACCCGTGGGAAAAGCGTATTATGTGATGAGGGGCAGCATGATCCTGGGAACCGGTAAAATACTACTTATTATTAATTTATTTTCACACGTTGAGGTGATGTGTGTCTGGAAAATTTGACAAATTGTAAGACGATTATTCGAACGACTGATTGTTAAACGCCTCACATGCACAATCCGATGTACTGCAATAAATAAAATTACTGTATTATATTATCGTATTGTAATATCATTATACAGTCACGTCGTTCGAACATCTTTTGGTATATTATGTTTATTGTGTAATATATTTATGTACTATGTTATCTCCGCAATTAGCATAAAGTATTAAAGTATAAATTAATTGTTCATATAGACGTGCCTAAATCTGCGTTTCAGGTGATGCACACAGTATTTTTAGACCCCCTTAATTTAATTTTAATTTCTCACAAGTAAAATAACGTTAATAAAATATTATATGATTGTTAAGGTATTAATTAAATGTCACTTTTTATGTTTTATGTGATAGGTATATTTTAAAAATCCTATTAATAAAAGGTAATGATAATTTTTAAGGTAGGAGTTAAGTTAAATAAGTTTTTATATTAAATCTAAATTTCTAATTCTTACTCTTCAAAATAATATACGTATACCTAATTAATAATTCCAAATGGTTTTGGTTTAAAGAATAATTATACTATAAAATATGGGTTATAATGTTTTTACACCAAAATGTAGAGTATCATTAGTTAGCTATATTATTTTAAAATAATATAGAAAAATTTTCTATTCATTTTTTTATCACAAATTTTGATAAGCCCTTATATTTTTCATATGGACCTCTCGCTCACACTGAGGCTTAACTTTTAGGGCCGTAATTACAAGATATCAGAAGGTGCCTCCCCCTCTACCCATTCATGGCTATGCGTAAGATAAAATGATGCGTTATTTATGATTTTATTTATAAGACATGTAAATTAAATATGCATCCATGTATTTTACAACGTTAAAAATAAAAACATATAAGATATATAATGTTGTATCCACAAGTAACAAACATGATTTCATGAAAAAATATCATAAATAATTGTCGTTCATAATTGTATTTTAAAACAGTTTAATTCACTCTCTCTCTCTCTCTCTCTCTTTCTACACACACACATTTATTTATATACATATATATGTATATATATATATATATATATATATATATAGAGAGAGAGAGAGTAATATACGCGTATTAGCTTTCAACTCTTTACTTACGCTAAGATGCATGTTCGACGGATGTAATAAAACATAGCCATCAACAATTATTTTATTTAATAAAGTGTAAATCATTTGAATTTTTACGCACTGTACGATAATTAATGTAATAATAACTGTGAGTCGACAAAATGAAATAAATGAAATATTTGTTAAATTTTTTAATTGGCATCTACCGAAAAATCGTCTCATGCTCGTGCGGTGTCGATCGAATATTAATTTATATAATCATTATACATACACTTGCGAACTAATTGATACGTTATACAATCGGAGCAATTAACATTTTTTTCTAATGACATCGTCGTTTTAACGTTACTACAACAACAATGTCGTGTTCGCAGTGTTCATCGCCGCTCTGGTACCCGACCTGGCGCCGTTCATCTCGCTCATCGGCGCGGTGTTCTTCTCCATACTGGGACTGATGTGCCCGGCCGTCATCCACCTGGTCACGTTCTGGAACCACGGCAACGAGGACGGCGAGGACACGGACGACGAGACCGACTCGGAGGGCGACTTGGACTTTGACGGCGACTACTACGCGGTGGACGACGACACGGACCTGGAGGCGGTGCAGCGGCAGCCGCAGCGGAGGAGGAGCAGCGGCCGGTCGACGCGCCGCCGTCGCAAGGGCATGAGCCGGTGGACCGTGGCCAAGGACGTGGCCATCGTTATGATCGCGCTCATCGCCCTGGTGTCCGGCACGTACGCGTCGCTGGTGGACATCGTGGCGTTCTACGGGTCCGGCGGCGAGGGCGGCGGCCATCACGCGGCCAACGGCACCGCCGTCACCACCGTCACCACCACCACCATTGGCCCGGGCCCGGAATCGGCGTTCTTGGTGGCGGCGAACGGCACGCGTTGAGACCGGACCGGACACGGACCGGAAGCGAAGCCGAAACAACGATGATATATACAGTAAAACATAATATTATTTCGAGCAATGCGCAATGGTTTTATTTTTTTCTCGATCGCGCCTGCCTGCCACGCATTTCTGTCTCCGAATCGTACGACGAACTTATTTTCGAAAACACAACCCCTCCCCCCCCTCAACTCCAAATACCTATACCTATTTTTTTATACACTTGTTATTTTAGTCGTCCAGCCACGTTTTTCGATATACGTATTTATACAATTGTCGTATTCCCACGTGTATTAGTTGATTATTACTGTATTGCATTTGTTTTTTCAGTATTTTTTTTTTTTTTTTATTTATTGACTATATCCATTTGTATATTGTATGATATTATATATATATACATGTATACATATTATAATATAATATAATTCCAGTACATTATTATTATTAGTTAATAAGGTAGTGTGTAGTTTTACGGTGGAAAACATGTTGTTTTCCACCTTTGCGTTTCTCGCATTTAAATTATAATACTATATAATATATTAATTACGACATTCGTAACAATTCTGTTACGATTTATTTTTAGTTTTAATTTTTTCTTAACATTATCGGGCTTAATGTAACAAACGCGTGCGAGTTCACGACAAAATATTTTATAATTATATACATTAGTATACATTATTATTATCATTTGTAATATTATAATTTTAAATATTACTACTTTTGCTTTTCACACATTATAATTTATTATTTACTCCACTGTTGATGCTTCAGAACGCATACAACAGGAAATCATAAAAGACATTATTATATACATATAAATGTTACTTTTAGTATACGCATTATATTATAATATTATAACTATTAATTAAAACAAAAAGAAATTGATTATTATAAATTATATCATTTATTATTACAACAATCGTTGCGTATTCTTATTCTTAAACTAATCATGATCATTAAATTACCGCAATCTTATACCATTATTATACAATTATATGTGAATAATAATACGTATAATGTGGCTGTCATCGCCGTCGCGCGGTTAATATAATAATACATAACTGCAGTGTGATTACTCACATCCACACAATATGATAAAAATATATAAAATATAATATAAATACAGTGTACTGTCAGCATAGTATAGGTACAGTTGTCCTCGCGCCGTTACCGTCATCGCGTCCGCAAACATCGCGCTACGCAGTAAATCATAATAAATAATATGCCCATTTGTAGTAATAATTATATTATACGGTATCAAATAAATATTATAAATTATTGTTATAAAAATAATAGCTCTAAAATAGCAGTAATGCGCTGTCACATTATCTCGTGCACAGATGCGTTTGTGTTCTCCTACGTGACGACGACTAGTAGTTATCCTATTCCTATATTAGGTATATAGGTATCTGGTATACGCGTGAAATACGCACGCTTATTGCACAATTACGATTTTCACGCATACACACACAATTGAAGAAGTCGCAGGTCATCGTATTTGCAGTAATACAGTTATTAACGCGTTTTTCGTATTTATACTTCATTACATTGTAATAATTACAAGGAATAATATCTGCGACAAACGTTTCTGCAGTAAATATTATTTAAGTTACGACATATCTGTTGCAACTCGTAATATGTCTTGCATGTTTAATAAACACGCGGAATAGTGACACAGTGTAATGGTAGCATATAAATAATAATTATAATATTATGTAGATACATTGTCGCTGTTGTCGTATGTACATTATAATATATGCTAACGCGGAAACGTCGCCACCTAAGATTATCCTTATCGCGTCAATATGATATTGTATAATTATAAATGCATAATTAATAGCACTAGGATCCTGTAGCAAAATAATATCCCCTTTAGGCAGGTATGTGGTGTAAAAAGATAATTATTATACACAAAAGCGTTTAATGTCATTCCGATTACAACGAAGTAAACTTTATTTTACTTTTTTCATTTTACTTCTTTTCCTTTTTCATAATATTCACGACAATCACTTATTAAATTATGTTTTACAGAGAATGATAGACGCAGAGAATTTATAATAATAATATAAACATAAAAATATAAAGCAGTGTACTTTAGAAGATTTATTTACTTATATACGAGTATTACAAAACAGGCCACGATTCAAGTACAAATAATTTACAAATTAAATGCATAAAATTAACATACAGGCGGACAAGTGTGTACCACTCTATTGTACAGTAGATATCGAGTGGGTTATTGCAATGAACGTGTTAAATTTGAATAATTGAATAATGATTTATCATTGTACCTATACGAAAAACGATTTTGACCGGAGACAGTCTATCAGTCTATATTATGAGTTATGACTAAGCTATACTTCATGTTATATATTTTTGATGTTGTTATAAAAGTAGTTTACATTATAATTAACTACGATAGATTAAATTAATTTTTTGTCGAAAACGTTGAGTTTTAAAATAAAATTGTATATACAAAATATAATGGTCTAATATTATACGTAAAAAAAGTCTTCGACAATAATGTTTTTAAATTATAATAAAATAATTCTTTTTATCGTGAATAGAAAGTGCTATTATAAATAATTTTAGAAATTTCAAATATTTACAGTAATTAATTTTTAATTTATCACATGGAAAATAAAATAAAACAGATTTCGCTAAAAACCGTTTACGTAAAAATTCTAGTTTCTCTTTTTTTTTTTTTGTTTGGTTTTCTGATTAATTTAAAAAATACTGGGTATTTATTTTGACTTCTTTAAAGTATAAACTAGATTTAATTCGCCATCATTACACGCCCACAAAATTTTCATTGTTCCGACATTTTCATGGGATAATTATATTGTATTAGTATAATAGTATGCAAAGAGTGGGTCGTGCAATTTCGCAGGATCGCCAAAAGTCCGTCAACAGCCAAAGCGAATGTCGGTTTAATCTTGTATCGAACTTTGCGCCGTCGCGATACAAATACCGCAAAACCTAAGACAAGTCTTTTAAGCGTAGGTAGGTATCAATTTAATGTACATTATAGTATTATACCGTTGTCGGAATAATTCACAGCGCCGTGTCCATCTTGTTTGGTAATTTCCGCTAAGAAACACAAAAACGCACAATAATAGTATATAATATATTGCTTATATGTCTATATCATTATGTACACACTGCAACTTTATTCGACAGATCGGTGTGATGTAGGTCCTTAGGTGGGTGTACGACGTGATGGATTTACGATTTCGGCACACGATCGTTTCAAACGTTTACCTACCTCACTGTATTATTAAACGTACCTTTACGCCTTATTTCTGGACATACATATTGACATATTGTATATAGACGGCGAACATGATAATATACCAGTCGTCCGATTGGTTGCACAGTATTTATTTTGTCTATTAAATATATCCGGTTGTCGATGTACGCATTATTATCGGGCATCAGCTATCTTAAAGGTAATGAAAAAAAAAAAGGTTTTTAAAAAGTATTTTAAGACAATCGATCGATAGTCCCCGATAATAATATTGTAGAGTTTTAACCGTTATAACTTAAAAGTTTACTGCAAAATAATTAAAATTGTTATTTTTCGTCATAATAACAATTTTTTTTAAAGTTTAAACTTCAAATATCTATGAATAAAAAAATTATACATTTATAAATAATAATATACGAACTGGCAAAGCATTTTAGTAGTCTCTACAAATATTATTTATTATTTTTTTTTTACAATGAATATGCAATATTTTTGCTTGGTATAAAAAGTTTGAAAATTAAAACAAGATCATTTGTAAATTGTTCTTAATTCTTATCACAATTAAAATCTATTGAAAATACATTTATACTACACATCTAATACACTATACGAAAATATTTTTTATAAGCGTTTTAAGATTAAAATAGTATGAAGTCGTATAATTCAAAAATTACAAGTTGTATAATATAATATATACCTTTTTATAATATTTAATTTTATTATTATAAGATTTTATAGCAAACTAAAATTTCAAAAACATTTACTCAACATTTTATTTATAAGTGTTTAAGGTTTATTATGAAATTATTCAAAATCACTAAAAATATGTAATTTATTATGTATTTCAAAATGCATAGTTCTTTTAATTTTAATACCTCAGGCTTGACCATTTAATAATTAATTTATCATACGTTTTTTGCATAGAGCTACATCAGTTTTTCATGAATGGCTGAAGTTCAAATTTTGACACTGAAGGTTATTCAAAATTCAAATGTCGAATAACAATTTATTCTTAAACGATTGTACTTATTTTTTTATTATTCAAAAAATACTAATGAGACCTTTCATTATTACCTTAACTATTATTTACTATGGTTACATAAATAAGAAAATTTAAAAAATATTTAGATTACTTTTCAGCTATTTATAAACATTTGTAATAATCAAAAAAAAAAAGAATTTTTTTTTAAAATCTTAAAAATTGTTTTTGAAATTATTATTGATAAACAAATAATTATGTTTCCTAATATACGAGTAGTTTAATTTTTAATTAATTAATTGTTTCCACTTAACTCCATTTTTACCAAAAAATTTAAACAATAAAATCAAAAACAACACTGATCTTGAGCTAATAATTTATAATCTTATTTTTTCTTCTTTTATAAATTGTATATTTAATAATATAATTAAAATATGCTAAAATTTCAATTAATTGAAGTACAACTCCTACAACAATAGGTACATACATTTTTTTATATATTTCTATTACCATAAAATACAAATAAATCTGAGACAATGTTTTTACTGTTAAACATTTTTAATATATAAAAAAAAATAAGTACTTATTTTTTTGAGCTTTGGTGAGACTACGAATATTTCGAAAAAAGAACATTTTGTCACTGCAGTTGACATTTCTATTTTTTAAATATTCTCAATTTGTCTATTAATAATTGCTATTCTCATTTTGTCAAAAGTACTTTACCATATGTTTCTGTTTTATCGATGAAATATTAACAGAATTTCATAATTATATTTTTTATTGTTTTAAACGTTTTAATGAAATAGTCTATCAAATGAAAATCTCTGTCCTTAGATCGAAAACAAAAATTCACAACTATTTTTAGTGTTTTATTTTGGTATTTTAATAGATGTGTTGTCTATACCTATTGCTGTAAGTAAAGATTATATATATAATACGTATTTAAATACATATACATGTTATAGGTATACAAATTATTTAAAGAAGATTATGTGACATAAGTTGGGTCATTTAATATTGCGATTTGTGGTATGTATTTAATATTAAAAAGATGTTAGCGCAAAATTATTGTTTACTCTCTCTGACCCACGCATAACAGCAATCAGCGTTCAGCAGAAGCAAAATATTATGTTTTTAGCTTTAGTATTAAGTAACTGAATACACTTCAAGTTATGGAAATTGTTTGTACCTTGGTTTTTTACGATATTTAAATTTGTATTCAAATAATTACTATTTAAAATATTACAGTCAAAAAATGCACTCATATCTCGTTTTAAATTTTAAATATTGTAAAAAATTCAACGCACAATGCACAAATACAGTATATTTTTTTAACGAAGTTTGATAATAGGTCAACTCACTATCCAATATAGTTCGAGATATCCATTTCTGTGTAGCAAATTGTGTCTGGAAGTTTTTAAGTAATTTTATTTTTATGATAACCATTTAGCATTA